CAGCCCTAGAACAGGATATCTAAAATATCTACAATAGCAACCATAAAAAAAGTACTCTCCCCACCCCAGAGAGGCCTAAGCAGTACAAGTTACTGTGCTGAAACCCTGGGCCCAGAGCTCTCTGAAAGAACTTGCCCCATCCCAAAATATTGAAATATGGAGTTGGTTCTAGCAAGATCCTGGTAGCAGAGGCAGAGTAACAACAAAGGCCTGAAGGCTTGGTCTCTCTCTGGTGCTGCTAGGAAGTGTACACTTCGATGGTACAATCTGTGTGAAGACAAAATTACCTTTAATTGGAGGCCTGGGATAAAAATATCACAATCTGTAAACAAAGTAGTTCTAGCATCCTGGAGGCACACTACTGAAGCACATAGCAGCAAGTACCTATTTACCCAGGTTGGGGCTGCCCCTTCCCTGCTCTACTTGGAAGTGGTCTCACACTGAGCAACAGTTGCTCCTGGGTTTCCCTCCAAGATAATTCTGGCAGTACTGGTGTCCTTGAGGATCATCAGTGGCCCTAGCCCTGAGGTTCAGTTTAGAAAAACAGTTTCTCACTTTCTCCCCATTCCAGTGGATGTATTCAACACATTAGTGTTTTTTTTTAAAAAAAAGTTGGTCTGTTTTATCTCATCACAAAATGATTCCTGCAGGGTGTCTGGGGACTGTTATTTACCTGCTGTCCAGGACCCCCTTTGTGGTGTCTATAAGGGCCCCCCCCCCTAATCAAAGAAATAACAGAGACACCCTGATAGAGCCAGCATGGATATGTACTTCACTAGGACTTAGTGTGAAGCATGGGGAAGCAAATTTTCTGGCAGGGACATCCATTATGCATGGTATTGCCCACTGTTGATTATGTTGTTGTGTTTTATGTATATTGTGTAGTAAATGTTCCCTGGCTGTTAGAGGATGCAGCCCCAACAGTTTAAGTCCTGCTTAAACCTCTGGTTATCGGTGACAAGTTCTGCTCCCTCACATAATAAAGTTTGAACATTGTTGAAACACACCAAGGCAAGCATATAAAGCAGGGTTTATTTAGAAAGGGATAACATAGACTTCTCACTGGATGGAGAAGGGGGCCATAACTGGTTATCTTGGTATCCCGTGAAGCCAGGTGTTCTGCCCTTTTTATGTGTCCTAGGCATCCTTTGTTCTCCAGTCCTCTTCCCCTTATCTTTCTCCTTCCTTGCATATGTGATTAGGCCCAGGAATGCCCAGTGGGATGACCAAATGGTGGGGAACAGGTGGGCTGAAGTGGGGAAGGGCAGGATGGTGCAGCCCAGGACACATTAATTAACAACTTAACTATAGCTCCCTGTAGGGAAGGGCAATTCCTGGGACAGGTTACCTTAGCAACAGGTTGGAGCAGGGGGAGGTTCTTTATGAGGGTGGAGGAAGGGCTCTGAAGGAATTAACATTTCAATCCCTCAGGGTTTCCTACTTCTCCGGACTCACTTAAAATTGGCCTGACTGTATCTGACCTGATTCGATTTACCTATCCTTACTGACTGCTTGTCTAATTCTGGCATCACTGCCCTACTACAAATGAAGGACTATTTTTAAACCCCTGTGTGTATGATTTTCTTATTAAAGAAACACACATGAGCACATGAACACAAAGCCTCCTGTGAAAGGTTTACTAAGTAGCTGCTAACAAGGGCCTCTCTCTAGGAAGTCACGTGATAAAAACTTAGCATGACCTTTCCAAATGAACTACTGCAAAAGAGAGGAATGTACAAATAAGTTGAACTGTAGCATATGTTACAGAGGGTTGTGTCTGCTATTATTTTCTTGTGTGGGTAGGGGAGGGGAATCTTTTTATTGAAATAAAATTAAAGAAGTACTTTGAAGACAAAGAGCATGGGATTAGAGCTGGGATAAAATGAGAGCATACATAGTAGGATATATTTCAAAAGATGGGGCTCAAATGGAGGGAAAATGAAATGAAACAACAAAGATGAGGCCAGACTCCCAACAAATTCTGTACAGGAATGTTTTAATAGAACAATTTTGGGGTAAGAGACTTCCCTCAGTAAAAGGATCCCTCTCTCTCATCCTATGAGGGTTGATTACACATGACCAGTCAAGGATATAATGGTACAGTGAAGGAACAGAAGCCACAATCATATGACTTTTAAAGAATATGGTCACACCAAGAAAATAAACACACTGAGGTAAAACTCCCTCTTCTCATTAAGGCTCTTTGGGAATATTGTGATTATTTTGCCTGACATGAATCAAAGTGGTGGAAAAGGGAAAGGGCAATAAATATTTATTGAGAATCAGTATGTTTCAGGTGTTAACCTCATGTAATCCTTCCCTGACATGAGTAATGTTATTCTTATTTTACAGACAAGGAATATAAGGCTTGGTGAAGTTAAGTTAACCTTTCCCAATGTTACAAAACCCAGACTCCTCTGTTCTGCTCAGAGACAAGTCTCATAGGAAACCATTTCTTTGTCACTTGATTTGCACTTTATGTTTGTATTGAACGGTATTGCAAATGCTTTTGCTTAAGCTCAGCACAAACATATTTAGTTCCTTGAACTCTTTTAACCCATTAATTCTCAAGTTTTCAATTCTGTCTGGAATTGTGGGACATGATAAGTTAAGAAACAGATCTCTCCAAACAGGAGGGAAATCAGTAGAATAGAGGTAGGAGATAGGGGGAGAGAGGAGGGAAAAGGGAGGTATTAGGGAAAACAATTGACAAATTATATTCTATTGTGTGCATATATGAATGTATATGTGACAACAAATCCCACAATTACAGATGATTATAATGCACCAATAAAAAATAAAATCCCATTGAAATGTTAAAAAATAAATCATTACCAGAGAGAGAGAGAGAGAGAGAGAGAGAGAGAGAGAGAGAGAAATGTGTCTCTGCCTAGTAGCCACACATTAGAAATAAGTATACTTGGATGATGCTGAGGCAGAGGCACAGACTGCACACCCCATGCTTGATGAATGTATCCAGAGCTTTGCTTCTGGCCTCATTGAGTTCTGATTCCCTTCTGATCAGGGTCAGCACTCTCCAGGGAACAATGAAATCCTGAAGAACAGACCATTTCACAGGGACACTCATTACCCAGTCCCCCTGCATCCCTAGACCCACTACTGTTCCAGGAATGTATCTCCACCATCAGTAATAACATTCAAACTCCATCTGTGGAGGAAAATCAATGTTTTACAATGAAGCACCTGCCATCCTCTCTCCTAGGAACCTTTGCCCCTTATAGAATATTCATGAAGGCTTTCTTTGTAATCTCTAAGTTTCCAAAGATTCCCTAAAAGACAAGACCTTTTAACAGAAAGAACTATTTCAAAATGCAGGCACAGGAAATTTAGCAGAAGAGACACTGGTTTCTGAAAACTATAATCGATCCACAGTCAGACACCATGTCACATTTCCTAAATAACCAAAATGTTTCTTCATTTAGGTAAATATGATCAGGTGAGATCATAAAGGGAGAAGAGAGCAGAAAAAAAAAATCCCTGGACCCAAGTGGAATTTTCCTCTTTTTGATTTTTCCATTTGTCTTTGATAAAAGGAGAGAGACCACCATTATAAAATGACTCTTACACCATATGCCAAACATTTATTTATGATTTTGGCATATGGTGACCTGAACTGGAAAGAAGGTTTAAGAAAGAAAAGGCAAATAGAATTATAAAAGTTTAAAGTTATTTAAATTTTTTTATTCTGTCATTATGAAATTTTTTTTGGAAGGTAATTAATTTGCATTTGCAATGGTTTGAGAAGTTTTAAATATGTATGAAGAAGATCATAGTAATGGAAATTGAGGCATATCTTAGCAACAACCTCAATCTATTTCATGTTTCTTGGCATTTATGTATATAAATTTGCTATATATATATATATGTGTGTGTGTGTGTGTGTGTGTGTGTGTGTATATATTTCCAAGACAACGTAGTAGGATGAAGTCCTTATGTTAACTATTGAGAAATACTCATTGTTGGAAACTGGCATGTTTTATTAATAAGTATATTCAGAAATCTGTTGTTATGCTGTTTCTGGGAGTGTTAGGAATATTCTTTATATATTTGATACAATGAAAGTTTTTTCAAGGATTTTTCACACTATTAAGTAACAATTTTTTTTGGGGGGAGGGGTTACTGGGAATTGAACTCAGAGGCACTTGGCCACTGAGCCACTGTATTTTATTTAGACAGGGTCTCACCGAATTGCTTAACACCTCGCTTTTGCTGAGGCTGGCTTTGAACTCATGATTTTCCTGCCACAGCCTCCCGAGCTGCTGGGATTACAGGTGGGCACACGGTGCCCAGCTTTAAATAAGATTTTAAATCCTAATTCCTCCTTAGGTCTAGTTTCTAGTTTGTTTTTATCCTTGTCTTCAGCTTCTTGTCTTCATAAGATTCTGCTCCATTTTTCTCCCCTAACCTTATTTGTTGTCTCCAAATATTCGGAATTCAAAGCAAAGAATTAACCCGATATTCTACATATAAACTATTTGGGCATGCCATTATAATTTTGATCTACCACAGAAATGAATTGTTTTAGAAGAATATTGCTTTTATGTACATCATAGTGTATGTCTTACTAATGTTTTAGGCAGATTTTTGTTTTCATCACATTTTGAATCAGGGCCCCTAAAGATGTGAAGATAATAATGCTTCCAAGATAACTAAGCTGCATCCTTATTTGTAAAATAAGAAAAAGATGAATTCCCCACATTTTAATGGAGTGTTTCTTCTCAGACCTGTAGTGACAGATTTATTCTAGTTATAGAAATGTACCCAGCCCCACTTTTGAACGTTTCTTTACCCTCCTCCCACCAAGTTCTTTCAAGAGATATCAAGGGCCAGGTTTAGAGCATCGCTGCCTCCATAGCAACCAGACTTCAGCTTCCTCTGTCACCATGGTGCTGCCTCGTCGTGGCCGGTGGTCGCTATGGTAACTGGGGGCGGGTTGCAGGCTCCAGACCGGCTGGACGCATGCGCGCGGGGTCCGCGAGCTGCGCCGCGCGCCCGCCGGGCCCCTCACCTCCCCTCGACATGGCGCTGAGGCTGCTACCGCGACTTCGGCTCGGTGCCCGGCTGCCTGACTTCTTTCTGCTGCTGCTTTTCAGGGGTGAGTTGGCGTGTTTCTGCCGTTGGGAGGGTAGGGTCTCCCTCCGGGCGATGGAAGCAGAGCGGGCTGAAGCGGATGGTTCTGGTACTGAAGGAATAGCGGTCCCAGCTCTGGGGACTCTGGGAGTCCCGGGCCGAAGTAGCAGCGCGAATCCCTGGTAGGGGGTGGGGTTTCGAGCCGGGGTCTGTGGGAAGCCCGGGCAGCCGGGCCCGGGCAGTGGGCTTATTTCGGGCAGGCGGAGTAACTCCGAACTGTGGGCGCTTCCCGGCGAGGGTCTGATCCCTGTTGAAGGGCCTCAGCTCTGGTGGAGAGCTCTCCGGGACGGTGGGCTTTAGTCCCCCAGAGTGGGCACCGCCTTCTGCGTGGACAACAGCAACTGTGGTGTGGACTCGGAAAGTCACTGGGAAGCTGCGGAGTAGTGCGGTGTCCAAAAGTGGACAGCGAGTGGCTTTGCAAAGTACCAGTGAGGCAGTACTCCGAGGCCTGTCCGGTTTCTTGGTTCCAGCTAGAGCTCTGCTGATCTGCTTTTCGCCAGTCAACAAAGGAATTGAATTGGGCAAACCCAGCTTTCCTTTTCCAGAGATAAAACTGCACGGTTATCAGTCCAGTACCTCTTTGTATTTAGCCTGGTGGGGGAGACCCTTACCCCAAATAGCATCTGGGCCATTTTGACCAGGGCACGCTGATAAACCTGAGAAATTTGTTCATATTCTTTGCTACTTTTTGGAATTCTCATGAGATCCGTATTTCCCTGGTTAGTTGAACAGAAGTGCTCTAATAGCTTCCATTTAGTATGTATTAATACACCCACACACTCTCACGGCATTTCAAAGTCATTATTTCGTTTAGACCTTAGAACCACCTGTGTGAGGTGGATTTTATTACACTATTTTCAGATTTTAATGGAGTCTATTTCTAAGGCTGCCTTCAGAGTAAGTAGTGTAAAACTCACATTTACTCAAAAGAGCTTCACCAACTCTTCTTGACTAGTAAGCTTTCCAAGGTAACCAAAACTGTCATCCCTTGATGTCTTCCAGAAAATACCAATTAAACCACGAAGGGGCTCTTGGGAATGGGGGTGGGGTGTGTGTGAACAGATTTAAGAAAACAAAGATTCTTGTGTTTGATGCTTATTCTAGTAGGATGCTCAGGTTGGTGGTAGTTAAAAACTAAGGGTCTGGCACAAAAATAAGAAGGATCAGTCTCAGCAAAGTTACTTCCAGAACCAAATGCAATTGGAGATAAAAGTGACCAAAGGCTAGCCAGGGGACAAGGGTGTCAGGAATGTCCAGCTCCCACTGTGTTGGTTACACTGACACTGTCCTATTCACAGACTGTAACAACTCTCTATTGTTGAAAAGATTTGTTCACATGAGTTTGCAGTTTTTATTGCAGAAACATTTGGTAGTTTCCTGCAGGAATGAGTTTCAATTTTGTGGTTTATTAATAATAATATGCAACTCTAATCTTTGATTTTGCCCTCTCTGAGGGGCTAATTTTGTGATTTTCTTGCTATAGAGTGTTGGAATTTACCTGAAGATCATAGCAGGAAGAATCAGATTTTCAAGACCAGGACTAATGACATTGAATCAAGGTGGCAGGATGTATTAATCCACTTTGAAGCCACTTTGAAGGGATGTAACTTTTTTTTTTTTTTTTTTTCTGATTGGGTTTTCCATTCTTAGGTTTATACTAACCTAAGTGTACTCTATTAAACTTTCACAAGATCTTGACAATGATGTCTTTTTAATTTTTTTTTAGGATTTTTTTAACTGCTATTACTATTCAGTGTTTTCTTTTAAAAAATGTCCCTGATTTTATAGCAAACATTAATAGTTAAACTTTATTGGCTTTTGTTAATTTAATATGAATTAGTGAAATTTTTATTCGGATCAGTTTAACCAACTAATCAAGTGTTCAAGACCGTCATTTGTAAATAAAATATTCCTGTGTTCAATTGATGACAGTTGCAATTCAACAAATCATTATTAGACTTGTGTGTTTCAAAAAAAAACAAAAGAACACCTGTCCCGGGAATGAGCAGTTTTAAATCAGCTGCTCATTCCCAAATGACTTGTTGATGGACATTTGTTCTTGAGTACTGCAGACTAGAGAGAGTGAATGGGTAGCTGCTAGAAATACTTAATTACAAATAATTACACTTTTATATCTAGAAAGATTTATCAGCCACCCAACCCTAAACTGTGTGAAACTTGCTCCTAAGTCAGCACCATAGCATAGATTTAAATCAGTTCTTTTGAAAAATAAGTAGACTTTTATCAAGCTTACTTTCTGAGGTGGCAGAATGTAACAGAAGGAGCTATGGATTTAGTGCATTCAACTAGCAGCTGTTAGGGATATGATATTAGTAAATTCCTTCTTCATAAATTCTTTGAATTTTTTTGAAGCACTAGTGGGATAAAATATGTGTGAATGAAGTTAGGATGTATACTGTCTGCTGAAGGATATCCTAGTTGTGAAGTTCTCTATTAAGATGTTTTTTAGGGGCTGGGGATGTGGCTGAAGCGGTAGCGCGCTCGCCTGGCATGCGTGCGGCCCGGGTTCGATCCTCAGCACCACATACAAACAAAGATGTTGTGTCCGTTTATAACTAAAAATAAATAAATAAATATTAAAATTTAAAAAAAAAAAAAGATGTTTTTAGAATCAGGTGATACTGTATGAAAGTGATGCTGTTAGAGTTGAATGCAAATTTTAAATTTTTGTACTCTCTAAATTCTAGCGTATATGCATATATCTTTTCTGGAGTATAAAGAGATCATGAAAAGAAAGTTTGAGCAAGCATATTCTTTTACACTCAGTTTAGCAAGGACTGTATCCACTACCGTACTGTAGTGTAGGAGAACCTTAATTTACTGCCTCTTTGCATTTGCCATGGCACACTAACTTTCTGAAAGTTAGTCCTTGTTTCTGATGTTCCAGGAATGCTGTGTTTATGTTTTTTTGGTTTTTTTTGTGTGTGTGTTTGTGTGTTGGTAACTGGTATGTTTTCTTTGTTTTTAAATAGTATCTATTATGTGTTATATATTGCATTCCCCATGCATAGTTAGTATGTATAGTGATTGCAGTGCTGCTTGTGTAAAAAAAATAAACTTTTTAATACAATTAGGACCATATAAACATTTTTTTACTATGTCTTCTTTCATTTGCAAAGTATCTCAAGACTCTTGTGGTTCCCACAAATTATTGCTAAGATCAGACTGTACTATATTCTTGATGTCTGCTATGTTTGACAACCTCAGCTTCCTAGCTCTAACTAAGCATATATCTTAGTCTGTTTTTCAGTACAGAAGACATTTTTTTTTCTTAGTAGCTGTGATATACTAGGCCCTGTTTTCCATGCTAAGGGTGCAAAATGAATAAAGCCCCCAGACCTTAAAGAACCAGAATGACTGCATATTGAGTTACACCAAGCTTTAGTTGTTTTGTTTGGTGTGAGTGCATTGTATCTTCTAAAGGATATTAAAACTTTCTTGGGAACAGAGGCTGAATTTCTTTTTTATCTTTCCAGAGGAGACCCTAGTAAATGTGTCACTTAAAAGTCTGTTAATAGTTTTTAAACATTTTCTATGTGTCTAGGCATTTTTAAATGTATATTATTTTCATTCCAGTGGCCTTAGGAACTTTGGGAAAGTTTCAGTTTTTACTATAGTAGTTATGGAATTAAGAATAATTATATCTTGGACTTATTTAATTTCATAGTCTGTTTTCTGCCATCTTCCCTGTGCGGTTACAAGGTTAAGAAGAAAAACATGGAGAAATACTTAGAAGTTGATACAAGCTGTAGGTACTACTAGTATATGTTTGTAATTACATAAAGTACTAGGGAAAACACCTGGAAGAAAGTGTACTAAAATGTAGGTAAGTTCTCTAAGTGGTAGGTCATTTTCTACTGTTTTGTTTTCCTGTATGATTCTTTTATCCTTTTGTCTGCTTTTCCAGTTTTCTTTAATGTGAGAGTGTTTATTTTATATTGAGAAGATTACATTGTGTTTTGAATTCTAGTAGATAAAATAGTGGAATTTTAAACTTGGCACTAGTAATGGAAACACTTAATTTGTTTAGTTTAATGTGATAGCTTATAGATTGTGCCTTTTTCTAGCTTCTTAATGTCAGCCACATTGGATGAAGGAAGGGCTGATTTGAAGTTCAGTTGTTTGATCATGTATTGTTTGTGACTCATTGAAGAGCTTGTTTGGTGTTGGCTTTTGGATTACAGAGCCAGCTGTGACATCACCAACAAATGGTTAATTGGAAAACTAAAAGAGAGCTGCTGAGAGTCCCTGTCTCCCCTCTTCTGTTTGAACAAACAAAATAATCTGAGTAATTGCTTTGTTCTACTTCTTCAGAGTTCAGTATTTATTGAACACTTAACTGTGTGTCACACAGGCAACTCCTGGAGGAGGATCTCTGTTCTCTTCCTCTCAGGTAATAAGAATACAAGGTCAAATTAATTTCCACTGAAAGTGACTCAGAAAGGTGTTTCTTGAAGTGAATCATCACCTAATGGGCCCCATCGCTCTTCCTGCCCAACATGGACTTTTTTTTTTTTTTTTTAACTTAAAATTTATTAGATTAAGAATTAACCTTTGTAAATTGGCCTCTGAGCAAAGCAGATTTTAAAAAAAACTTTTATAGTTGCATAAAATAGGTCTGAACATAAATTATAATTTAGGCATGCAGGATCAAAATTATGAGTTCAATAATATAGAATTTTTTTTTTTTTAATTGTTGGCTGTTCAAAACATTACATAGTTCTTGATATATCATATTTCACAATTTGATTCAAGTGGGTTATGAGCTCCCATTTTTACCCCATATACAGATTGCAGAATCACATCAGTTACACATCCATTGATTTACATATTGCCATACTAGTGTCTGTTGTATTCTGCTGCCTTTCCTATCCTCTACTATCCCCCCTCCCCTCCCCTCCCCTCCCCTCTCCTCCCCTCTTCTCTCTCCAACATGGACTTTTT